TGTTTTAAATCTGAATTGACTCATATGTTGACTTTCATGCTTTACTGGTGAAGGAAATAGCCTGTATATGTCTGAAATGATTGAATACGAATTAGTGCCTAGCTAGCACATCTGACCTTCCATTAAGCTAGCTGAAATAACAAAAGTCCCTGACGAACTTCGATCCCGCATCGTTGAGTTGCAAGTAATTTAAAAAATGTTTGCTACCCGTAATATATTGTTTATTATTAAAACGTTTCTTTATTCAAGATGAATGCTTGCTTGGTCAGCAATATGCTTTTGTTGGTGACGGAAAAGAAACAGTTAATGATGTGGCAACCACTGACACTCCTGACACTGACGATCAGACAGACGCTGGTGATACAACTACTCCTAGTGGAAGCGAAAGGGAAATAGCAGGACTTTTGGAGAGAGAATTGTTGACAGATCTGCTCATTTCTATGTTGTCAAAGACATCCAAGGATGGCTACATAAGAAGAAAATATGAATAAAAGGTTGACTACTTACATATTCTTTATACCTAAGCAATATAAACAAAAGCTGTCTAATATACATGTACAATCCTTTACTATTCGAATGGTTACTTTGAAAAAGAAATCAAAGGTTTTAACACATTTTGTCCGGTTCTTCATTTCAAAGTCCATATGTCCATGTTAGAAAAACTAAAAGTAAACACTTTTTTCATATTTCACAGTGCTTGGAAACATCTTAAACTTTCAAATGTGTTCGTGGATATTTACTTATTTATTATCTTTTATATAATTGGCAATAATATTGCATAGCGAATCAAGCGAATCAATATGCACTATGTTTGATGAAACAAACCCGGTAATGTTTTATTCTCTGAATTTTCAGAAGAATCAAAGACGAAGTAAGCCTAGCAGAAAAATTATTTTCGACTTCAGATAGCAAACATATCATGCTACAAATATTTTGTATTAATAAACTTATAAACTTTTGAGACTGCGTAAAATCTTGTCTTTTTTTCTGCTCGATAACTTTTTTTTTTTTCATCATTTATATGTTCAATATAATAAACAATATTTCCCCATTCTTAAAGCGATATCACATCTCTACACTTGCTTAGTTTTCAGTTTATTGGTTTATCTTTTTGGCCTAATAATACACAAAACATATGTATATGTGCCTGTTTTCACTAATGTTGTCTAAATAAAACCTTCAGGTTAAAATATTTAATACTTCGATTCTTTGTCAACTAGAAATGATCACATTCTGAAAATATGATACGGCATGTTACGCGAAGGATTCAGTGAGAAGGGAAAACAGAATATTTCCTTACTGGTTCTACAGCATTTTTGATTGTGTTTATTTTTAATATTTTTCTTCTTATTTGATCCTGGAATGTAGCAATCTAAGATACAAAGATAATGCAAACATAACAAAAAAGGATCATTGTTTGTGAAATTTATTTGTTGGAATGAGACAACCGTTGTCTTAGTCTTCTATCGGTGGCTGAATCTGCCAACAGTGCAGACCAAGATCAACCGCCACCCCCATTTAATATATATAACGTGGGATATTATTAATACCGTATATTTGAAAAATTACAAATTACACTGTTAAACCGAATATGTTCTATACATGTTTTAATTCAAAGGAAACCAGGTGTGACTAAGATTTTACTGGTTTGTATTGTTATTTAGTTTTTGCAGCAAGAGACTATGATATTGCTGTAAGGTAATTGATAATCAACTCAACAGGAAGTTATTTTTAATGCTCTTTTCACCTTTTGTTCGAGTAAAGGCATAGCTAAATATTTTTTATCAAGAAAGGAAAACACTCTCTATTCATTGGACTGTCCCTTTGTCAAATAAATAAACTGTATAATAAACAAAAAATACCCAATAAGTCATTTCGTGTCTTCTTATTTGTCGCATTTGCAAACAGTGTCAAAACTGTGATATATACTTATCATAATAAGAACAACAGGAACAATCTCATTGTATCAACATTTATTCAAATTCTTTGTAAGAAATAAAACCACAACAAATATAAACCGAAAAGATATATACAAATTATTACAATATGACTCACTCTAGCCTTTAATTCAAATGGCTCTTTTAATGAGATGTCAATTAAACGCATGCGATGTCATTTTTAATCAATTCAGGTATTCTCAAATGTGAAATAAAATTGTTCAGTAATCGTTACGTTAATTTATTGAGTAAGAATAACATGTCCAGTATCAATAAATACTCATTTGCCTGCTTGAAATTACCAAAAAGATACAGTTCTATTAATGTAATTGCAAGCAACATTATGGTTGCTTTTAATTGATGCATCGCGTCAAAATCTACTATTCTGTGACACATTGTAAAGCTGACAAGTTTCAATATGATATTTACAGTATTTGATGCGAACTCAGTTTACAAATAATTCTGTTGTCATATTTGGTAACTGGATTGATTCATTAATTAAAGACAGTAAAAGAGCTAAGTTTTAGAATGCTCTAGTCATAACGGTTGTGTTTTCGAATGCTTTAAATTTTAACTTTTATTTATTGCCCTATCATGAATTTAAAAATTAATACAAAAATTCATTTAAGTGTCCTACTTTTTACAGTTTTAAGCACAATGGATAATAAAGTTTACAATAGTTTTTTTTTCGTTTTAGTGTGAGAATCCGTGGCATCATCTAAGAAATAAAATAAGGAATCTAATCATATCTTTTACTCAATTTCAATATTTCGAAATATCACAAAACTCACTACAACACACGTTAAAACTGAAATTACAAAATAGATTTTATCAAGTAAACGCGTCACTTCGTACCAGCCTATTTCCTTGGCAACATTTCTATCAAAAACAGTGCATATCTTCGGTTCACCAGATTTTTCACTTTCGTCTCCGTCGCAAATGGGATAAACATTGTCTTTTATTTTCTGAACCTTTTTGCTCAAGAACTTTTTGAAAATGCCCGGAACTTTTCTGTCTTCTAAAGATGTTTTTGACAGAGAAACTATAAAAATACTCCAAATAATCCCAATTGTAGATATGATACTAAATGCAAGCATGCTTTGAGAAATTAGAATGATTTCAATCGAATTTCTTGGGATTTCATACACAAATGAAACGTTCATGAATATCATAGCAAGATATATTGTTATAGAAAACGAAAGTCTTTCGCAGTCAGGGGGCACAAATGGTGCAAATATCATGAGAACAGAAACTAGCCAAGCCGGGGCAAAATTGTTCATCATTATAAAATTAGGTCGTCTTTTTAGAGTAACAAAACCTGCTGCGAATGAAATATAGAGCGACGATAATGTATCCTTATATTCTGTCACATTAACATCAGATTTATCAACACTCCATTCTTGATTTTCATTATAGAATGTTTTATCAAAAACTTCCTGTTTATTGAACTCGATTTCAACCTCATAAGGTTTATACCTGGACGTATAGAATTGATGTACACATTCGTGTTTATCAAATGGAAACATTTTCATTTCTATAAGGCACGACGCGGCTATCGATTTTGCCTCGTGAACAAACACAACGCCGTCGTTTGAAAGTGTTACATTCAATATTGGGACTTTGTCCTCATCTAAGCAAGCCCCAGGGACTGTTTTCTCCAGTTGTGGATTCCAGTATGTGTCTGGTGGTAGTGTAACTTCTGTTATACCACCATAATCAGAACTGTTCCATGTCAACAATTCATCTATCCAGCTCATACTTATAAATGAATATGAGCACATTAATCCGGTAACCACATCAAAATTGATTATTGCACGGACATTCTGAGATATTTTAACCTGGAACAAGAAAACGAATAATCTAAATTAATTAACGTTAACTATTTGATCTCTATATAAAAGGAGGTTAATAAAAGTTTGATTTTTTTCTTTCTGTTAATGACGCACTTTACTTCAACTTTGAGCTATGCATACTTCATCATAGTACTTCATAATGACAAATTGATAATATAATTAGTCGATGCTACAAACTGTCGTGGATTTTTTATGCAACTTTTCGCGGATTCATAGATTCGCGGAAATGAACCTAAAAATCGCGAAATAATTTCTGGAAATACAGTTCTTTAAGATACAATGTCTTTTTTTCTTTTTGCAAAAACGCAGGTGAATGAAGATGTTAAGAAATGTACGAGTAATGGTTCAAAACACGAAAATATAAAAACAATTGTAGCATCAAGACCTCCATTTACACGCTCAATTAAACCAAGCCTGCAACAGGTTCATTTTTGCCGTTTTTTTGGCATTCTTTAGGAATTCTATTTTCTTCTTTTCATGTGACACGTTATTGCCATTACATGAAAAACGCAGTATGTTCTATCGGCAAAGAATCCGTACAAGCTAAACGAGAAAACGATGGGTGAAACCAAATAAAAAAGACTTTTAAAGAGGGGAAAAGAGTTTTAAAGACCACACGTCACAAATAAGCTGTAAAAAGACCAATCTAAAATAAACAGGTAACATAATTAATCATTATAAGCCTTATGGTGAATAAACTGTATTTAAGTAAGGAATAATAGAGCCATTCAACTAGGAAACAAAAGTAAATAGAAAGAAATAAACTGTGTCACAAACACAAACAAATGAAATAGAAAATAAAAATATAATCTCTAAAGAACGCTCAAAAAGGCATTTTTGAAAATGCTGAAGACTTTTTTTGATTGACGTGTTTATTGTCGGTATTGAACAATTCTAGCTCTCATCCACGCCCTTAAGCAATGGAATGGTCATTTATAATATTATTACAATTATTGTTGTCGTCATCATTGCCATCTTCGTTACATCATTTCATAACCAATGTCTCCATGACTTTCACCAGAAAATCATTGCATTTTTGTGTGTGTTTTTTTAACAATATTGTCATCGACAGTTTTATGTCTTCTACATCATTTCCTTAAGTGAAAGCAAAGTACAAATGTAGTCTTATACGTTATCCTATAATTTCATACCGATATCAAAATATGTTCGTTTTTTTTTCACTGGTAAAAGATATCTGATGCATTATTGCAATTTTGAATATCTTAATCAATATTATTTTAAAGGTATTGCATAAACATTTTACACAAACTTTTCACCTAATTTAAAAAATGGGCCATTCTGCTTGACTGTTGCTTTTGTTGTCTATTTATCAAACACCATTAATTGATTATAAATAACTTAATTTTGATAATTTATGAAAGATATATAAAAACTAAATAAAGATATAATATTGAAGTGCATACTTTAAGAGTGTGCATGTTTTATTAACAAATAGAAAAAGATAAATTGAATGGTTTAAGTTTTAGAAAGATAAAACACATTAAGTTATTTTCCAAAATTGACATATTTGTTATGAAAATGTTATACTGAGATCCTAGAGTTAGCATCAGTTTACAAACATGTGACAATGTTAGCAATCATTTATATGATTCGTCAGCAGATAATTTACACGCTAGAACTTAGCCATTATGTTCTTTCTATATTGTATCAAGTTCACAGATAAATGAAAGTAGATTTGAATTAATACTTTAGTCTCTTTATAAGTCTTTTTATTTTTTCACTAATAAAATCTGCAATAAATTGTTTTATTTCTTAAATAAGGTTATGCAATATTTATTATTAAGCTAACGTGTGCAGTTGGAATCAAACTTGACAGCAAAATAATGGTATTTATCAAAAGTATGGAAATGACCCCTTAATCTGATTTTTATGTCGTTTTTGACAGCAATGAATTGTGCAACATAACAGTACAAATGAAAGACTTGATAAAACCGTGCTAAATAATTCCACAAAATCCACACAAAACAACTTATAATATAAAAAAAATACATTTGAAAAAATTAATCAGGGGTTTTATTTCGATTAAACGGCAATGTAGTGTGTAACATAAAAATACAAGATTTGATTAATCTGGACAATATAATTCTTATTAAAAGTGAAAATATAAATACATACCTTAGTAACTGTTGAACTGTTCTTGACAGGTCGTATAAATCTATTATATCTTGAAGTGTCAAATAAGTGTTCCAAAAGGTCTTTCGAGTCATCGTATGTGTAACATTTGCAAACAGTATTCAAAACTAGAACACATGCCAATACCGCGAATAAACGTATCATTTTGAGCTTAATATAGATACCAGATAATCCTGGGATTATTTAATTTATCTTAGAATAAAATCCAGAAAAAATAAACTTTATAAAACAATCTGAACTGATTGATTTCAACTTTTCCTTGAGGTTACAAGCAAACTTAATTTAAAATTCTTTTTAATCAGTTCATATACTCTCTGATGTGATATCCGATGGTTAAATAAGATAGGTAAACGTATTCAGTGACAGTTTTTATTGATTTACAGATATCTGTTGTTGATAAGTAAATACCAATTTTTATACGACCGCATTAAAACTAGATTACAAGACGTTATAGCAAATGATCTTATCATACTGAATTTAGGTTTTATCTTATAAGCTCAACCCAAAATCTTTAAGTATATCCAAGGACAAAATCTGGAAAACAATAATTACAATTAAACAAAATCTAAAGTAACTGATTTCAATTGTTCTGAAAAGATATCTTGCTGTCCTGTCTAATCAATTTCTGAATTCGCTAATGTGAAATGCAGACAGTTAACTATAACTGTATTCAGTCAATGCTAATGATTTTTTTAAAGAATATGTCATTCATCAATAAATAAACATTTTTATGACCACATTTAATTACTAAATAAATACAAATCCATTAGTTATATTACACGTGACAATAGTTCTGCTTTAAAGGTAATGTCCTTGCGTCAAAAACAATTATTCTGATATTCGGTTTAAATGTGTACACAAGTATAAACCATTCAATACTGTTTACAAATATATTACATCATATTTGATTTATGATTTAAACTAATTGAATAATTTCTATAGAACTTTTTACGACGCGGTCTGCTGCTATGAAAAATTGACCGGAAGTAGTATTTTTTTCACGCATGCGCAATTTGCGTAGGACAAAAAGAGACTTGCCCTACAAAGAATTGTAGTAATTCCGTGATAGTTTAAGGTAAAAATAAGAAAATCATATAAAATAGCTTTTAACAGAAACACAAAACATCCCTTTATAGCTTTGTGGCCAAGATTGCACGAAACGTGCATGGAAAAGACAATTGTTTAAGAATTCCCCCTTACGATCACGGACCTGACATTGAGATTATTATTTTAAAAAAATGTGGAAATATATTAGCCAATAAAAAAGTTAATTTAATTGTTGTTGAAATCGTCCATATAAAAAATATTTTTATAACATATTATATATAACATTCTTACATAAATTTTATAACATTTAAAATGGAGGTTATAATTATCATTCTTGAAAAATGTCGAAACACGTAATATAATGCATTTTTAGTTTTCAGTTTAGCTATAATTATATTAATTAAATCCTTTATCCGATTTGACTGAGATGCAAAACAGAATTTTTTCAGTCACATTTATCTTTAAATAATTTTTCAAACTCTTGAGAAGTTACTATGGGTGGTGGAACAACACACATTTTATCCGGTTTCTTGTAACACATGGAAATGCACGTCACATACACTATTTGTCATTTCACAAAAGTCAATAAACATTGATGAGATTGGTATTAACAAAAGTTACTTAAATGACAATTAACCATTTTAGATAGTTTTAAGTAATTAACTATGTCATGATACTAAAACGACCCGGTTGAATGATACTGTAAAATAGCTGGCAAATAACAACAGGTCTCGTATCAATCTCTTTGACACTTATCGCTTTGCCAATCAACTTTCAAAGAAATGCCAATTGTGTAATATTGTGTCATACATGGGTAATAAATGTGATCTTTAACACCCTGCTGTTTTAATTTTAATTACTGATGAAAAAGTCACCTAATGATACCTTGAACAGAGGACTTTTGGTCGTTGAATTATAACTCCCGCTTATTTTGCATATCTGTAATAAATATCGATTCAAGTTTTAAATACTTACCGATTTAACTCATCCCAAAATTTCTAATTTCTGTGTGACATAACTTGACATCACGCATTTTAAAGCCTTTTAGTACGCTTAAATGTATTCTATCGTTATTGCGCTTTTGCCCTACGCAGAATGCGCATGCGCGAAATTCAACTTACGTTGCTATTAAAAAATGTAAAAAGGTCAATAAGCTTGTTATTATTGCATTTCCAAACGTTTTTGATTTGAGATTGTATAAAACTTACCAACAGCAACAACATCTCAAGAAGCAAAAACAAATAAAACAAAACATTATAGCTAGGTTTTATAAAAGTGAATTTGTCGTTATATTTTCATTCTATTTACTATGATATAAAGTTTAAATGCATGACACCTTGATGATTTTAAACATGGTTGAAAGTCAGAAAAACTGAAAATCACTTCCAGATACGTAAACGTTCTACATTTCTAAGTACATTATATCATAACGTATTCAGGGATAAAGTTTACAAATTACAACAAGAGGACAACAAAAACCTTATATCTCTCACCTGGGTAAAAAATGACGGAGGACCAATAAAATTGTTAATTATGGATGAAAAGTAGGAATTATGTTAAAATTTCAATTAACTGAAATCAAAGTGCAAATCTGCATCAGGAACTCTGCATGAAGTGAAGCTTTTCATGCTTTTCATACCTTCAACTTAAATTGAAAACAAAATCACGTGTTGAAAATCTGTATAAATTGATATCAAAAACTAATTTTGCAAATGGCAATGTTGTTGCTCTCAAACAAAACACAAAAACAACATTTTTTTACTCTGTATAATTGTTTAACTTTCGGTCATTCTAAATTAATTAACGTAGTCATCAGTTCCCATTTGACGAAGCCTCATACCTCAAATATTTTATCTGATATATTTTAAAATACTCAGGCGTCAATAGATTGTCAGACTGATGCTTTATCACAGTCATGATGTTTTTGTTTGTTTTTCACTTGTTGATGAACAAATCTGTTCAAGCTTGTATTGACAGTCCCGCTTCTTAAACTTTTTTATAATCTATAATCTTTTCTATAATCAGAACAATTTCATTTTTTTGTGTATGCATACAGAGTTTTGTCAGAATTCCAATTATCCTAACATTATATCAATTTGTAAATCTATAAAAGTATTTGGAATCATTATTTTCATACAATTAACGGTTTGAATAAAACCTTTTATCTTTAAATGACAAATTGATTTTTTTATGTTTTTAGTAATTAATTTTCAAGGTACAGTAATAGATCTATAGACCTTGTAATTGTTATGCTCATCAAAGTTTCCGTTTGTATTTATTCTCAGAGGGTTAAAACATAGCTGGTTTAATAATAAACATAATAGTGCGGGAAAAAAATATTGTGACATGTATTCATGACTGTAAGTTTCTTTAATGTTTTATTGCGTTACATATTGATTTCGTGTAAACTAATAATGAACTTCAAAGTTTACCGTCGTTCTAATTAAACATTCGATACAAGGGAAAAAAGTTTACTGTGTATCCTTTATTGATTTAAATATTATTATATTAACCTTATGACTAAAGTCACTTCATATATAAATATCAACAATGTATTGAACTTTATACACCCATTTGTATAAATCAAAATAACAGAATAGAAACAGTTTGAATTTGCCTTTAGACTTGACTAAGAAACAATATTCCGTTGGTAGGTATAATTTTACTTATTTCACTCAAGAATATGCCCTTACTATTTTACGATATATCAAACAATTTAATGAAAAGGTCTATAATTATCATAGTTACTTACTGACAAGACGTTCCTAGCTGTAGATTCATAATGACCTATTACGAACTGACATGTCAAAATACAAGTCCTTACCAGTGAGCTGATTGAGAACAATAAATATTGTCCATATAACTTTGATAATGATATTCATTTTGAACATAGAATAAAATTTATTTTTTGTCTATTACATGCACGCAAATGTTATAAAGAACTAAAATGTCAAATGGTTCTTATTCGAAAACCAGTATTTTCATGCTGATTTATTTTTTTAGCGATTTGAAACGATAGATATATTATTAGTTATAAAGAAGTTTTACAGGTTATATGACCCCATATAAACGGTTATTTGTATATTAAACGAGAGCCATTAGGCTCGATATATATTACAAACAACCTTTTATATAGGGCCAAATTACATGTCAAGAATCTGTATAACGAATTTATAACACCACAAACTTATTTTGGTAGCGAAAAAACAACAACAAGAACTTAAATTAATTGATTAAATGACTGTAGCCGTGTATATATATGTCATGATTTTCCAATGAAAAGCGACGTTACAAACGTGCAATAGTATAATGAAGATAAAAGAGTCAAACAATACATTTTAATAAGATAGGTAAGTTAAATACAACACATGCACTAATTTATTTGCTTTTTTTCCAACTGAAATTCACTCAGCGTTAAAAGGGTCCGACTACCCATGTTATATCCTATTTATAATCACCCAGTATCAATATCTCGAAATATTACAAAATTCATTACTCCAACAGTCAAGACTGACATTACAAAATAAATTTTATCGAGAAAGCACGCCATATCGTACCAACCTATTTCCCCGGCCACATTACTATCAAAACCATCGGATATCTTAGGCTCACCAGATTTTTCATTTTCGTCACCTTCGTCAATGGAATTCACATGATCTTCTGATTTCACTTTCTTTATATTTTTGCTCAAATACTTCTTGAAAACGCCCGGAACTTTTCTGTCTTTGGTAGATATTTTAGACAGAGAAACTATAAAGATACTCCAAATAATCCCCATTGTAGATATGATATTGAACGCAAGCAAACTCTGTGAAAATAGAATGATTTCAATCGAATTTCTTGGGATTTCAGACACAAAAGACACGTTCATAAATATCATAGCAAGATATGTTGTAATGGAAAATGAAAGTCTTTCACAATCAGGGGGAACAAATGGTGCAAATATTATAAGAACCGAAACCAGCCAAGCCGGGGCAAAATTGTTAATCATTATGAAACTTGGTCGTCTTTTTACAGTAATCAGACTTGTTGCATATGAAATATGCAGCGACGACAATGTATCTTTATAATCTGTGACAAAAACATTAGATTTATCCACACTCCATTCTTGATTTTCACTGTAGTATGTTTTATCAACTACATTCTGTTGAATGAACTGAATTTCAAGCTCATTTAGTGTATATTTGGATGTAAAAAAATGATGCACACATGTGTGTTTATCAAATGGAAACATTTTCATGTCGATAACACACATCGCACCTATTGATTTTGCCTGGTAAACAAATACAACGCCGTCGTTTGAAAGTGATATATTCAATATTGGGAGTTTTTCCTCAACATCAGTGTCTTTGCAAGCCCCAGCAAAAGTTTTCTCCAGCTGCGGATTCCACAAAATGTCAGAGGGTAATGTCACCTGTGTTATATCACCATAATCAGAACTGTTCCACGTCAATAATTCATCTTTCCAGCTCATAGATATGAACGAATATGAGCACATTAATCCGGTTACCACATCAAAACTGCTGATTGCACGGATTGTCTGAGATATGTTCACCTTGAAGGAAATAAAACAAGTTTTGATAATCTGTCTTGCCATCAATACAATGTAAAAAAATCTGGAAACAAAGTAATCCCTTGGAAGCATCAACCACAACAAAATTACCAGTTAATTGCAAACTCGGTTTGATTGAGTCTGTACATGAGGGACAATGAAAATGTGCAACATCCCTCACGCCCCCTAGCACCGGCTTGAGCGGTACTCAATTCTCAACACTTTATAGTGGTGGCATCAATGATCCCGAAGGACTTGAAAAATAAAACAACACTAAAGTGAAGTACGGGGCAACTTTTTACAGCTGCCACACAGCATTTGACACCGGCTGTTGTAAGTTTATTTCTTAGAATGCGGATGTATTTGTTTCGCAATATATATTTTATGCTGAAAAAATAGCCAATAACGATCTTAACTGCTATAGTAAGCGGATAAGTACAAAAATATATATTCCGAGTTTTTGATTTAAAATGTAAAACTTAATTGATAAAAAAAATTCTTAGATAAGGCTACCAATCGTTCAAAATGACCTATTGTAACATAATGCCGGTATACTAAAGGGATAAATCATTATATATATTAATGTATGTAATAAATAAAGCAAAGCATAGTGATTAATATTAAAGCGGCCTTCCTCTTTTCATATTTTTAGATAAATCGTTTCATATAATTGTTAAGTAAAAAAAAATAAGATGGAACATAAAATTTGCCGACAATAAAATACATAAACAATAAGTAAACCCCTCGATACCTCTAATCTACCGGTCCGCTCACTATATTTAAATAAGTAAAACGGACGATTCTTTTTCCGATCTTCTATTTTAAGAAACGAACGTCAATGTCGCCATATAATAAGAGCTCAAGACGCTGTTTCAAGAAGTCTTACACTCATATGATGCACTTTTCCAAGATAAAATTACGAAAATGCATAGTTTGAAACAACACAAGATGTGTTGGTGTTGTTTTTAAAAAAAAAATAATTAAAATAAAAAATAAATAAAAATAAAAAAACAGAAGTCCGCTTAAAATATTATAGAAAAGCATGATCTGATCATTAAATAATTTCTTTTAGTTCTTAGGGAGCGTAGAATAGCGTCAGTGCTTATTCCCATAACAAAATATTTATAAGGGTTAACATAAGTTGGTCTGTATATTAAGTAAATGCTATGCAAAATTCATAAATACTATGGAACCTGTTGTAATTGAAAAACTAGCGTTTTGAAATTAAACAAAAAAATGCTATTTATAAGAATTTTGAAAAAGATTAATCAGGGGTTTTGTTCAGATTAAATGTCAATGTATTGTGCAACATAAAAATAAAAATATAAGACTTGATTAAATTGAGCCATTTAAGAATATAACCCTTAGTTTAAAAGTGATAATATAAAAACATACCTTTGTAATTGTTGAACTGTTCTTAACAGGTCGTATAAATCTATTATATCTTGAAGTGTCAAATAAGTGTTCCAAAAGTTCTTTCGTGTCCTCGTATGTGTAGCATTTGCACACAGTGTTGAAAACTAGAGTATATGCCAATATCACGAATAATCTTATCATACTGATTTAATATAAAAAAAAACTTACAGACCAGAAATCACGAAATATATCTTTGAATAGTTTCCAGAAAAGGTTACAATATAACATTATATAACGGGATTGAATTCAGATGATCCTTGAATGAAGTTAAATGCAAAAATAATGTCCTATTCTTTTTTAATCAGTTCATATACTCTCAGATGTGATATTCAATATTTAAATAAGATAGTTATCCGAAGTCTGTCACAGTTTGTTCATTGATCTGCAGGTATCTGTCGTTTATGAATAAACATTTATTTGTATTCGACCGCAAGTTATAAGCAAACATTGTAAACGACAACATTATATTTGGAAATATCCGTATCCATTAGTTGTATTACAAGCTACAACAATTCTTCGATCGCATTAGAAACAATTTATCTGGCATTCAATTTAATTGTTTAGAATATTATTGTGACACATATTTATCACCGGTTTATCGTTCATAATTTTCATAAATGATCTTATTTCCTAGAAAAATATTCATTGACTGGTAAAAGGCATGTTCGAATGTTTCATAACATATCGTTGAAACATCATTTGTCTGATCCTGATGTGAATTTGGTTTTGTATTAGTTTGGTGGTTATTCTTTGCATTATATTAGCACCAACGACCTTAAACAGGCGATATTTCTGGGAGATTTCTGCGTGGCATGGTCCTTTTTTGACCGGCGATTTTTTTTTCTCAATAACTTAAGATTGTTTGAAAATGTCAACAAAACATCATGGAGACAAACATCCTTTTGAAAAGAAGATGAACATTACTCCGATCGATCACGATGTCTTACAACTTATGAAAATGCAAGTAAATGGTGTGTGATAAAAATGCGACGTAGAGCACGTCCTTACAGGAATTGACGTCATGCACAGTTAGCCATTCTTAAATGAACATCAAACGCTTGAAAATAAAAACATCTAATGATAAAGTAGAATATTTCAGTTTGCAGAACCTTCTTCACAGCAATATAAAGCTCAAAGGCTTAAAGGAAGGATAGTTATAGGAGGAGGCCCGTGTAAAGTTGACGCTAGATTGGGCGGCGATTAGTTCTTTCGGTATTTAAAGTCTAATAAACTACGTTAATAAAACGATATTCTAGAGCAACCACTTAATAGACCGATTGCTTGATTCCTTTGTAGATTTAAACAAGCTTGGAGGGTGTTCGTTACACAAAGTCAGTCAGAACAAAAGCCCCAACCCAAGCATTATGTCCAGGAAATTTCCGCGTTGCATGTCATTTTTTCGACCGTCGATTTGTTCTTCTTGTAAATAAATTATCGTAAAAACCAACATATTCTCAAGACAAACGTTTAAATACCATTTGTCTGATTCATTTGCAGATTTGATTTTGTACAAGTTTGGAGGGTTGCTCTAACACGTTATAAATCCCAAAGCCCTACACCAATCAATATGTCCGTGATATTTCCGCATGTCATGGTCGTTTTCTGAACCGACGAGTTGTTCTTTCTGTATATAAACTATTGTTAAAAGCACCATTTTCTCAAGCAAACAGTTTTAACAACAGTTGTCTAATTCTTTGGCCGCTGCAATTTTGTACAAGTTTGGCGGGTCTTTCTTACACATTATCAAGCTCAAAGCCCTAACTCAATCAATATGTCCGTGATATTTTCGCATGACATGGTTCTTTTCTGGACCGTCGATTTCGTCTTTCTCTATATAAACTATTGTAATAAGCACCATTTTCTCAAGCATACAGTTTTAACAACATTTGTCTAATTCTTTGGCCGCTGCAATTTTATACAAGTTTGGAGTGTCTTTCTAACACATTATTTAACCCAAAGACCTAACCTTATCAATATGACCGTGAGATTTCCGCATGTCATGGTCATTTTTAAACCGTCGATTTGTTCTTTCTGTATATAAACTATCATAAAAAGCACCATTTTCTCGAGCCAACCGTTTTAAATTTGTCTTATTCTTTTGCAAATTCGATTAAATACAAGTTTGGAGTGTCTTTTATACAAATTATGATGGTCTTTCTAACACATTATAGAACCCAAAGTTCTTCAAATCAATATTTTCGTGATATTTTCACATGGCATGGTCGTTTTCTGCACCGTCAATTTGATCTTTCTGTTTATAAACTATCGTAAAAAACACCATTTTGAACAATAAATCATTTAAACACCATTTGTCTGATTCTTTTGCAGATTTGATTTTTGTAAAAGTTTGGAGGACTTTCTTAAACGTCATAAAGCCCAAAGCCCTAACCCAATCAATTTATCCTTAATATTTCAGTATGGCATTGTCGTTTTCTGCACCGTCGGTTTGTTCTTTCTGTATATGAACTATCGTGAAAAGCACCATTTTTTCAAGCACACCATTTGTTTGATTATTTTGCAGATTCGATTTTGTACAAGTTTGGAAGGTTTTTTCACACATTATAAAGCCTAAAGTTTGCCGGGCGTGGCACCTATCAACAAAAATCTATATATTACATGCCAAAACAGCCTTATTGAGTGTAGTTTTAAAAAGTTACTATAGTAGTTTTATAAACAATAAATCGTTAAGATGGTGCATGTCAAGTTAGAAAGTCAGAAAAAATACATAAATCATTTTCAAATTTTAGCATTACTAAATTTTCATCAATTTTTCAAAATAATCGAGATATTATCAAAATAAACATGGTACTTGAAGTCTTGTGTAAAATTTTCAACATAATGCTCATTTAATTCGCGTCCGTCTTATAACTGTGAAGAAATTGAACAATTCATAAAAATTAAGTCATTCGTTTTGAACAATAATCATTGTTCATCTGTGAAAGGTGATCGTACCTTATCGCAGATAAAACAACACTAAATCAACAAACACATATTATTATATGTAAAACGACAACAACAGTACTAATTCAATCATGTATACAAACATGAAGTCGAAAAAAATATGCATTTATGTATTTTTTTGCCCAATTAAAGTAGAAAATAATTTAAACAATGTAATAATCTGCATACATGTATGAAATTCGATTTTATAATTGACTGTAATGTAAGCACAGAAGGGATCAAGAATTATAAAGCCTAAGTCACAATATCCTTTGTTACACAACGCCTATGTGGTGACTCTGGCTACGCAGCGCCTGTGTGGTGTATTATGGTACCCAGCGCTTTTGTGGTGTTTCTGGCATGCGTAGTGCCTTTTACTATGTGTGATGTATTTTGCTTCTCAAAGCATGTGTGGTGCCTTTTGCTACTCAAAGCATGTGTGGCACATTTTGCTACCACGCGATTTTGTGGTGTCTCTGACTACCCCGCGCCTATGTGGTTCCTTTTGCCTGTGTGGTTATCCAAACCTTTTGCGATTGTCATGTTCTTTCATTATCTCTTTTTAGATTATTTGAGACAATAAAGCCGACTTTACTAATATACGCATAGAGAGCGAACCAGTGGAATCGATGTATTCAGGGATTCGTTTTGTTTATTTATTTCATCGACGGCAAATTTCATTTTCTACCTAAATTCTTTTGTTTTTTTTAACAATATATAACACGATATATCGAATAATATAAAATGTTCAAACTTCAGAAAAGCTGATGGCCGTTTTAAAGATAATATCGCATAGTTGGTAATGTATTATAAAGAAAAATGTTATTTTCGCTCTATGTTGGTGTTTCTATAAATGGTAAAACATGTTACGCCTACACTTAGAATTGAAGTTACAAAGTAGATTTTATCGAGGAATCTCGACACGTCGTACCATCCTGTTTCATCAACAACGTCATTTCCGGTATACTTGATAATTTTCTCTTCGGCTGACTTTTCTAATTCCTCAACATTCTTAACAGAAATATTTTTATCTCTCTGCTTATTCTCCCTGATAGATATGCACATCAGTATTCTTATAAGATCAGGAACTTGAGATTTCTTGGTTGACATTTTTGACAAGCAAACTATAAAAATACTCCAAATAATACCAAATGTAGAGATGGCACTAAAAGCAAGTATTACTGTTGATATTAAAGGAATTTCAATCGAATTTCTTGGAATCTCGGAAACAAAATAAACATTCATGAACACCATAGCAAGATAGGTTGTTATTGCGAGAGAAAGTCTTTCAGAATCAGGTGGAACTAAGGGCGTTAAAAGTATCAGAATTGACACAAGCCAAGCTGGAGCAAAACTGTTAATGATGATGAAGCTAGGTCTCCTTTTCAGAGTCATGTGAGTTGCTGCATAAGACATGGATAATGACGACATATTACTGTTATAGTCATATACAAACTGACCCTCGGAATGAATGTTCCACTCTGGATTTTCTCTGTAATGTTGTTTGTCATGAATGCTTCTTTCGTTAAAGTTAATTTTAAGTTCGTCAGCTGTATATTTTGTTGAATAGAATTGAGTCCAACAGATGTGTTCATCAAACGGAAACAATTTCATGTCAATAGCGCATTTAGCTTCCAATAACGCACCATAATTCATAGAAACCGTACCATCATTTGTCAGTGTTATATTTGCTGATTCAGAAATTCCCTCGGCTTGGTTACCTTTGCAAAAATCAGAATATGTGTGTATGAGCTGTGGTGTCCAGCATTTTTCTGGCTGTAACGTGAGTTTTGTTATACCACCGTAATCAGAACTGTTCCACGTCAATAGTTCGTCCACCCATGACATAGTTATGAGGGAATAGGTACACATATATCCAGTCATTACGTCAATATCATAAATCCCTTGAAGAAACTGAGAAACAGTTATCTGAAAGTAAACAATAAACGAATATATCGTCATTTTGATTTCGATGACGATTATGAAATCAAAAAAAAAAAAGACAAAAACATAAAATTTATACACGGCCATAAGAAGTAGTTCCATATGGAATATAGAAACGTATGTAGGATATTTTTTATCAGATTATATAAACAAAACAAACAAAAATTGTCATGGAATGAGTCCTTAAGTTCTTTAAATGTTTTTCAATATATTATTACCTTCAATATATTTAGGTAATAATTATTTCTTGTAAGTCATGCGTTAAAAAGAACATCTTATTATCTTTTAAATTATAAGTTGCCTGGCTAGTATACCTTAAACTTATGATAATAATGGCATTGAATACTGGTATAAATTGTTTAATGTAAGAGATAAGTTGTAGAAAATATTAAGTGCCCGATAAAGATTTCAAAATTTCAAGATTTTATTTTTCACTCAATACACATGTAAAAATAAGGTAAAGAACACATTACAAAAAACGTTGACGAGGTTAGTATTATATAACACACACGTCATATTTAAATAGACAGGAGAACACAAAATGAAACGAATTATTTAAAAAATAATAATGGAAATTCAACACAATGTTTAAAGCAATATTTTTCTAAGTTTTTTTTTAAATGAAGCAAAGTTTTTATATTCCACATGAAAAAAGGGCTGGTGTTCATTCATTTCTGTAATAGACTTTAGAGA